CTTAATAAAAAATTGAAATATTAAATATAGAAGATAAATTTCTGTAACAATTTACTGTGACGAGAAAAAAAATCTTTATTAAATTTTTAAATATTTCTTGACGTTTTAAAATGAAATTCGTTTATCTTATTAAAGTTAAAAAAGTCAATTTCCAAATTATATGTGCACTTTACTTATTCTCTTCTTCTTGAAGTGCGACTGACACACGTCGCGCGAATTTGTTTACACATAATACGAGTAAAAAATAAAATATGGCAAGAGGGATAAGTAATGGGCTACCGCGGGAAATTTACTTTTGTATCTCTCGGTTTGGAGAACATGCAGCCCACATTTCACCGCTTTTCCGGTCTGTTTCCTCGACGTAATATCGACAGCGTTTTCGTTCTTCGAGAGAATTAAGTAGGTAGGTAAGAAGACAAACTTCTTCTCACGCTACGTTCTTATGTATTTATATATTCAGAATTTATATTAATGTTAAAATGATGTGTTACAAACACCATTTTAAAGAAATCTGGTGTATTCTAACGACTTAGGTTTGTATTTTTCATTGCGAGTCAACTAATAAACAAAGTAAAAAAAATTATCTTTCTCTTTACTGCTATCGTATAGATTAATCTAGCTTTTAATTGAATAGATAACGTTCCCCCCAAAGGGTATAGATTTAAATTAAATATCAGACAAAACAAGCAATTACTAAAAAGAATCTTTTTCAAAAATTACAAGAAATAAAAAATCCTTTCGAATCTTTTTTTAAATTAAAAAAATAAAATCTCGAATTATAAATAATATCAATTAAGTTGAAGATAAATGTTCCCAATTATAAAATAATATAAGCAATTCTTAATATGAAACTTCTAAAGCGTGTTATCTACTTGGAACCGATCAATGTACAAATAAGTTGATCCCGGATAAAATACTTACATGTATTGACTAAAAAGCAAACTGCTTAATCTTTTTCGGAACGTGACATAGATTACATTTATTACAAAACTTTGAATGCGATTATTTCTATGTAAAGTCCCGAACGCTAGAGATCGCAATGCGCAATCTCACTTCGAAATATAAAGACAGCTGAAAAATCTCTCTCGCTCGATTCCTATAGAGAATTATGTCTCGCTGCAGGAGCAGAGAAAAATGAGCCAGCTCATTAGAATCCGGAGGAAAAAAAAATTCTTTAATGGATAGCTTAGTAACGGGAGATTAAAACGAAGTGAGAGGAGAGAGTTGGCGAAAGAAAAACAACAGAATCTCAACGAAGTATCCCCCACCCCCGCGAACAATCCGCACGAAGCAACCCCGTGCGAATTAAGCAAACTGACGATGCAGTTTGGCGTCGTTAGAATTGCATACCAAACTGCACACAGTTATACGTGACTGTGGTATTTAAACGGATTATATGCTCTCCCTCTTTCGCCCTTCGTTATTCTAATTTCCGGGAATCCACCGCGTTTAACCGTTCCTCGACAGGTCGTCATTGTTGCGCCTTGTCGCTAACACCCCGACTCTCGACTTGAACAACCATTAGCCGATGGTAAATACGAATTGTATCCATTAATTCGCGTTACAGATCAAGTCCCTTCGTAATTATTATATAGACCGAAAGATCAAATTTGAATCTAGCTATTCAGCGCGATCTTTGCTTCTCCACGCGATTCTAACGCATTAAAATAAATTAGATTTACTTTTTCACGACAAAGTGGACGTAAATAGGCGACGCGGTATCAAGTATATTTGCGGGGTGCACTTTTAAAATGGAACGTTCCTTGACGACTTTGCGACCTAGTCGCTTTGCGTGGGTGTTTATAACTTCTGCCTCAGTTACATCAGGATGCGCTGGCGGTTCCGCGGTTATCATCGTTCAAGCGTTATCGCCGACGTTTTTGCAGTTATTTGTAATTGCGTAATTGCGCCAATAAAACTTCATTCGCCGAGGAGGCGTACAGATTAAAAAAAGACTCATTGCTGATGGTTAATTTGCGAACGAGTTCGTCTATTTTCTTTAACCTCGTTTGAAATCAACGTAATAAATAAGAAATAAATGTTGTAAAAGCATATCATTTCCTACGACTTTTCGTCTATACAAGCATTTATAACTTCGTGTTCTTCGAGATTTCCTATGAACTTCACGTTACAATAAATTAATTACCGTCCGTCTTTTGTTTCTAATCTGGGAAGTTGAAATAGAATTGAAAATGTCAGGTTATTTTAAGCATCTCCTAAACTCCATTTTAATAATGTATATATGAATATCATCTAATTCAATTTTCTTTGGAGCCCGTAAGCGTATCCAATTAGTTTGGAATATTGCTCTCTGCAATGAGAACTGCTCGATTCGACAGGTCCCAATAAGTTCCGCTGTTAATGTCACGCGTTATTGTAACTTCGTCTAAGAACTATACACCGGCTGTGCTATATGTATATAACCGCCGAGCATTGTTCTTCCCACCTTTCGATGTTCGGAAACGTCTGCGTTAGTCAGTTGCTGGATAATTCGCGGGGGCTACAGGATTCTGATGAGCGGCAAAGTTTTGCGGCGGCAAACGTAGAGACAAGTAGGAAATGTAGCGTTATTTCCTTAATTTAATTCTACTCGCCTACTGACAGAAAGATATAAATAGAACCAATCTAGTAAATGGACCAGCGTAATGGGGTGAGTTGCAGCGAGTGCTGAGGCTTCATTGATTATCGCAGGTTTCACGACTGGGAGATTTAGCATGTTCAACCGATGCATAACATAAACCGAGCTTTGGCAACGGCAAAACATTTAGCGCTGTGCTCGACGTTCAGATTACATCTTCATCTTCAAAGGATCGTCCTTCTCTTCATCCCGTCTCCCGTCACGCGCGATTCGCGTCAATTTCCGTAAATGCGTCCATCGGTCCGCAAATTTGTGTTATATAACGAAGGAAAGTGCGGTAGAGTTTCGTGTAAATCTCTTATGCGCGAGCACGAAAAACGGAGAGATTCTAGAAATTATCACAGGTTCCGCTGATTTTTGTACGTTCAGACGGGATAATTATAAAGAGATCGAGCAGTTTACCGTTCTTCTCAAGCCACTTTAAACCTATTTTCTTACAAAATAAAGTGGTAATAAGTTTTCTAAATTTTATAAAAATTTCGTTGAAACGTTATTAACATATTTTGTTTCAAAGTCAGCAAAAGAATGTTGTCGATTTAACAATAACGTTTTATTAAGTGTTTGGCGAGAAAATTTTCGAAATTTCAATTATCGAAATCTTTCTTTGAGGCGAGGTTTAATTTATCAAGATCGTTGATACAGTCGGCGAACGCTTTTCTAAGTACCAGGTGATCGATCGATATTGTTCAAGAGACGACAAGGGAGACTCTTCTGTGTTCTCTTTAACGTCACGAAGTGCCTTGTCGCTCGCGACGCCTGTCTTCTCGCGATTGCACTTTATTCGGGTCGATGCCTTTGAGAAAGGCGTCGAGAAAGAGACGGCGACAAGAATCGAAAGGGGGGGAGAGACACGGATCTGAGCTCTGGAGCTGGACGCAAAATCGCGCTATCAGAAAAACGGACAGGGAGCTTTTTTCCCCCCTTATCTTTTGCGATTCTCCTCCGAGCGACTCTCATGCGTCCACTGTGACAGATGAAATCGCTGTCACGCCCTCTCTCGACTCTTGTCGTTCATAAAGCTCGAACTGCTTTACTCTTCGTATAGACAAACGTATTTCTGTCATACGGGGACAACGTGCACTTTAACGTTCACTGGACGCATTTTCTTCAGATGCTTTTAGACATCGTTTGAAGAAGACTGATATGAAAACCGGATTTACTTTGCCACAAGCGAATTTTCTAATACTCGACTCGATTGATAAAGGCTCGACGGATAGCAAAATTTTTCGCGTCGCAACGTGATAATAAAATATAATATTTATCAAGTTTTGACAAATATTGGTCCCCATTCAAATTTTCGTTAAGAAGAAATTCAAGTTGGTTAAATAACGCGGTTGCAACCAGTTTTTACGGATTAATTTTATATCATCCTGTACACTATAATTACGTTCTTTTCAAAAATATGACGCCTTGTTATCATTTTCTATCAATTTTCGCGACTTTCCAGTGTAATCATTAAACATCTAGGCGATTAAGGGGGTTATATTAACGACACAGGCACGTATCTGAAAAATTAAACTTTAGTCAGTAGCGTTCACGAAGCTTAATGCACTGTAATCCTTTAATTTCCGATACCAAGTAACTTTGTAATTATCCTACAACTTAAACTTCCACTCTAGAAATTACAAACGATTAAATCAAGATAACGCAAATTCTGTCGCATTTTTCCCCCACACTTTCTTCTTTCGAACATTTGTCTGATATTACGTGAAAATACTTGAGAAATATTGAAGAAAAATATTTCGTAAAAAGTTTTCACAAATATTCTATTTGCTCGGAGATAAGATAAATGACGTTCATAAATCGGTACATTTCAAGACAATTTCCAGAAAAATAAACAAACCATTTTCTCGAAATATGTCGTTTATAGCGTTTTCCTGTAACAATTTTACTTGTGTAGCGCGATAATGTTTTCAGATGGAGATGTTGCTTACTGGGATATAAATTGTTACGCGAGAAACTTGTAAATTATAAATACTTTCAAGGTTCATAGCGTGACAGGAGCGGTAGAAAGGAATATGATTAATGGCGTGTTGCAGCTAATAGCCCGCAGCAATAATGGCAAAATTTATAGTAAACAGAACGCGTGTTCGAAATGATCGAATACCACTTGCAATTTGAAGTAATGAGTTAGTGCAAAAATGTCAAGAATATTACAGCTGAGATAAACTTTTCTCGTAATTTCTATAAATCTCAGTGTTATAACACAAGCATTGCGGAAACTATTTCAACAGCACAAAATATGAAATAAAAATATATGGCGCGATTTCCTGATTGCGCAATTGTTGTTTTTCTCTAGCGGATATTTTTCGATAAATCTAGAAGTTGAGTCTTTTTTAAAATTCAATTAAAAACACAAATTCAATTAAAATTCAATTAAAATTTGAGTCTTTTTTAAAAGTCAATTAAATTAAAATTAAATCAACACGCATTTCAACTTGTTTATGTCTATTGTAACATTAATAATTTCGACTAGTAAATTTAAAAAATTTATTTACTGTTAAAGTAAAACTAAACCGTGCAATATCTTACTGTTCATTTACGGTACTTTCGTAGTTAAAGCTATCATCTTATTATTTTCAGTTATTATTTTCATCAATGTTACACAAATTTCTTTACATTTGAAAAATTTTATCAAATTAATTATGCAGCAAACGTTTAAAATGGAAAGAGGTAACTCTGAGACACTTTGCACCTCGTCCGCTATCTCGCGTCGACATTTTCAGGCTGATCCAAAAATTTCTTGTATCACTGCTAAACACCCGTAGCATCTCCACATTAATGCAAAACCCATGTTATCTCGCAAAACAACAGCGAACCCTTCCCGATGAAAATAGCGTGAAACGTATGCGTCGCGGTTTTTTTTTTATCATTCTCTCGCTGGACCTAATGCGTTTCCGTTTTCAATCACCCCTTCGTACGTCGTAAATGAGGTAGTATGTACAATAAGAAAAAAAGCAATTTATCTTCATATAAAGCTTAATTGAAGAAAAATCTTATTAGTACATCCTAAAATGCAATTAACTTTGAAGAAAAAAAACGTTCTTTGACCTATAAAATATTTCATTCACTATAATTACTTGCAGCACCTTGCCCTTATTATTTACTTAAATCGTTATTATTTTACTTGGAGTCAGAACTTTGGCTTGGTGCGAATAAAGGGAACATATACACGTACAATAAAATTTTCCCATGAATTTTATATAGTGTATCACGGAAAACACGTGTTAACAACACGTTCGAGGAATGTGACAATCGCGAGGACGATACAGAAAGGCAGGGAGACGCTTACTCATGGGGAATGTAGATTTATCTTTGAAAGGGCACAGTTGAGAACGTGTTGGGATAAGAATATATATATACTCAGTCGAAGAGGAACTTTTCTTCTCGAGCAAATTACCTGGCGCTTCGTCGAAGCAGTGCTTATACTTCTAAAAGTATTTTACTTTCGAAACCGTTCCGGACTTTTGCCACTTACGAAGTCGTGGTTGAGCACTTCGCGTGTACGCGATATTTCACGAATTGACTTGCCACATAATATAGACTCCTAATAGAACGAGATTGAATTCTACGCAGAATGTCTCAGAATCACCGGATATTTTCTCATTACGGACAAAAGTCACTAAAGATTTACAATGTAGCTAATTATTTAATGATTACTTCAACAATTGACATTAAACTCTGTTAAAGAGAGTAATAGCTGATGAGTGCTTTAGACTTTGTCTTATTATTTATAAATAAGACTTCAAGCCGATTATCACAATTTATACTCGCCAATCTTAGAATTAATAATAATTAAGAAGTTAAAATGTTATTATTTTTCTCAAATTTAAAGAGTGAAAACAAGATCGACCCCAAAAGTAGGTACGAAATGAAAGGTCTCGTCAAGATAATCGCAGATATGTCAGTCTCAGAGTGTACCTATTTAACGTTCCAGAGATATCGGGCTCCAAAAATTTCAAGACCGAACGTTCTCTTTCCAAGCATTTTCGATAAGTACGAATCGCGCTCGGTAAGTACGGTTGACAATTTGTTAAATGATGCGCGTAATTCAAGCAAGCTCTTGGAGAAGTAATTTTGTGATGGGTAAGAGTTGCGAGATTTTTCATTTGAAAACTGAAAGACATTTCCACACAGTTTAAGTATGGATTATTTTGCAAAAAACATTATATACCGGCGTGACACTCGTGTGCAATAAATGAGAGGCGCAAAGAAAATGTATATTTTATCAAAAGTTGTACGATATTTAAGTTCGGACAATTCAATATGCGACGCAATCATAAATACAGATCTCGGCCGTGACTTGTATAATGTAGTTTCTTCTTGCGTTAAACCGAGTACGGAACCCACAATAGTTTCAGTATTCTGTATTGTTTATGCGCCTGGGGACAAAGAATGGGAGTGGAAATGGGAGTACGTAATATGCTCTGAATAAGCTCCGATTAAGCTCGCCGTACTCAACTTCGTCGTACACACACGCGTTGCACACACCTCGACAAAGTTGCATGCCACTGACACCGTTTAACCGCGACCAAAACTTGCTCGCTCTCTATTCCTCTCTCTCTCTCTCTCTCTTTCCCTCTTTCTCTTTTTTTTATGCAACAGGAACTATCACTAACAATGCACGTTGTTCCCGAAACGCGGCGATTCCTGCGATTGCACAATATGCGTGGTCGGCATAGTTTGAGATTGCAAAATTATAACGTCACGCATATGAAATTGAGCTGCGAGTTCTACGCCCTTTGAGACAATACGGTTTGCGATTTAAAAGAATCAAAGAGCTAATTTTCAAAGTGTGTCGGATCTAAATTTTGTAAGAAGTCCATTTTCCGTAACCAAGATTCTGAAAATTATTTTGATATCGAATTCGGGGTACTCTGAAAATAAGCTTCCCGATAGAGCCTTCCGAGCTGAAAAGGGGGTGGCTCGTCGCCATGAAACGTTTCATTTCGTTTGACCTATACAGACCGCTCCAAACCTCGTCCCTCTCTCTAATGACTGCGAACTGAATCGGCTAATTCGAAGTCACAGTCTCAGGACACGTGGGATGCCGCGTAGCAACGCAACGCCTCGTTCACATATTCGCTAAAATAAACTGCGAGTCAAGATAGAAAAAGATTCCGCAGGCGCTCGCGCACCTCCCTGAGAAGGATTCTGCCAGCCAGCGTCCTGGAATACCCTGTAAAGAATCGCTTCGCGATCTACCTCCCGTCGCGTCAACGGCGGTAGTTGATTCAAGTTCTCCTGCCGTAAGTGCTCTGCCGAGTGATGGTCTGCCGGGTGGTGGACATACTGTTGTGAACGGAGTTGAATCGGACGACCGAGCTCTGAGGCAGATGCGTGCTGACGCCGTTCTCGTGGCGGTTGTGGTCGCCGCTGGCGCACACCATCGCCAAGGCGCCGCCGTCGTTCCTCGCGCCCCTACAGTGCAGCAGCTCGCCCATACCCTTGCGAAAGTTGCGCGACAGGAAGGCGTACAGCAGTGGGTTCAGGCAGGAGTTCATGTACGAGATGAGGAAAGTCGACACGGTCAGCAGAGTACTGAAGTCCGATGTGTTATCGTAGTTCGGACCCCAGTGCCGCCAGAGAATACGCGCCTGCTGAGGCAGGTTGCACACGGCGAACATCATCACTACTGCGATTAACATTCTGGAAAACAGTTGGTGCGCCATTCTGACCAATTAAGCAACTCTGACGTTGACGTTGGATAACAGTCAATGGAGATGCAATCGTTTTGGACATTTTTTCGAGACTATTTTGAAGAGACTAACAAGATGATTTGTTGCTTTGCAAAAATAGTTAAAAATTGACTTCTTTTATTTGGCAATTTATTCTCGGCGAGCGGTTACGTAGTTGAATTAGTTTGTATTAAATAACGAACGAATGAAATAACGCGGGTGTTACGTTCATTTCTATACTTTCTTTCTATATGTTTCAAGGGTTTTGCGGCATTCGCAAAATTAATTAAAATATGCATAGTATTCGAGGCACTCGCTCTAATGGATTTGATATGCTCAGCGAGACGGAAATCGAAGGTGCTGTCATGCAACGCATCCTGGAAGTAGGCATACCTGATAACACCGCGTCGCGCCTTCAGTACGTTTCTGCTGGACGTGTGCACATGATGTACTCTACCATTTTTGCTCTTGGCGACCAGACCGGGTCCTCCGAGGGTCGCGCTGCTCCTCCAGAGACCTATGGCGATCCTGGTGTAGAGACAGCACATGAGGAAGAGCGGTATGAGGTAGAGGAAGACGAGATTCACGACGTCCAGAACGTTTTTGTTGTGCTTCTTGATATTCGCTATGCAGATGATGTCGACGTCGCCGTTGTTGAGACGATTGCTGATGGTCTCAACGTAGAAAAATCTGGGCGAGGCGTACACGGCCGCCAGAATCCATACCACACCTATCACCATTCTGAGGCGTCTCCTGGTCAGCATGGATCGGCACTTGATAGGGTGAACGATGGCCAGATAACGTTCGGTGCACACTACCACGAGGATTAGTATGCTGGCGGTGTACGAGAGCGCGTGCACGAACATGTACACCTTGCAGAGGAAGTCGCCCAGCTGCCAGCTGTTCATCAAGTAGTTGGTGAGTGTCTGGTAGACGCAGAATATGCCGACGCAAAAGTCCGCCACCGCCAGATTCGCCAGGAAGAAATTTGTGATGCTGCGCAATCGGCGGGAGAACGTCACCACGAAAATCACCATCAGGTTGCCTGGAACATAGAAATGTTCACGTGTCGCGTTAGTAGGGGACAGATACGTCGCTGGTGAAAGAAATACAAAAATACTATATGCATTGTTAACAATGTAATATGAAAAATGTCGAAAATTAATAAGTGTAAAGCTTTCGCTCAGTGATTTTTTTTTCGATACCTTTTCTTTATGACTCTTGATCAGAAAAGAGATTTTACGAATGCTCGATTATTTCGTAAAACTCATCAAAATCTTTATTATTTTGTTAACTGAAGCGTTGTTTTATGTATAAGAATAAAAATGTACAAATCGATAGACTTGCTTTATTATTTTATCATGATAGCGGGATTACGAAGAAATAAGTGCTTTTGTAGACAGAGAATGCTATCAATAATTCACGAACAGCAGAATTTGTTGGCGATGTACCAGAAACGACCTTAATCTACGAAACTGGTTATTAAAAGCCAATCTCTTAAATGATTTGGCAATTCGTTAAATTATTAAGATTTTTCAGCTGCTGTACTGAATTGGATTTTTCTCTAAGTGCTTTAAATAATAAATAGATATTACTTCTAAATTGAATGCGTGCGAAACAGGAACTAAATTATCGCACTATTTTGAAGAATATGCGAAAAGCTTTATACATACGTTCGAATGTCAGTAAGATGAAAAAATACTATTGGAATATAAAATAATAAGATTTTTCTTCAATTAAGCTTTATATGAAGATATATTGCTTTTTTTCTTATAATTGTACATACAATGTACATGTAAGAATTTATTTTATTTGTGTTTCAAAAGTAATTTCGTACATTTGCATAAACAATTTAACAATAAATTTAATGATTAAACTTAATAATTGGTTTCTAGACACAAAATAGCGATTGAAAAAGATTATCGAGAAGAGAAAATAAGAAAAGTTGTTATAAATCGTTGAAATGAGTCGAAAAGAAAGTTCTCGATAGAAACACTCTTCAATTATTTGCCGCTGTTACCATCCTGCTTCAACGTAATCTCCTTTAAGCGTATTCTGTGTAAACTACAATATTAATGTATAAATTATGCGACCAAATTGAAATTGAAGTGTAATAAAACAATCTCCAATTAAAATCTATTACCGTTCGGTTTGAAAATCTTAATAACTTCTAGCTAATGGATTATTAAGCGACCACGAAAAGATATAATAACGCAATAATACTGTTAGCAGACGCTTCAATCCTGTAACCCCGTAAGTGCTTTAATGGCGTATGCAACCCACATGTGTTATAATTTATTGACAAGATTTACCTGCTCTTATACACGGCACGAGGTATGCATATCGAATGTGGACAATGTCATTATCGGAGATAAAGTGTGTTACGAAAAAAAAGTTATATCTAATATTAAATGTAATTTTATGTCAATTTAAGATCTCCGTAACGTTAATTTGAAATTAACTTTGTCAAACACTTCAATTTGTTATTAAAACGATCAAGATTTTATCTTTTATTCTCATTTTTTTTTAATTCATCACGACTCGAAAGCTTGTGGATATTTTTATTTGGTTAGTTATATGCATAAATTTCGTCTTTTATAGAACATCCAGTATGATCTTTTTTCTAATTTTACTTTCTAGCTCATGTACAATATAATTTTGGTATTGGGGTCAATTTCTTTTATATTCGTATTTCATGTCTGAATCTCGCAGCGACAGGACGCTGGCAGCGGGCATCGCGTCTCATCCCTCCGCAAATTTCTTTACGGAATGTCATCCTTTGTTCCTCGTTTCCGCACTTGAGACCGTTGCAAAAGCAATGTTGCTCCGGTTAAAGGAGCGCGCGTCACGAAGGCTGCATAAAATGCAGAAAATGAGATGGCATGAGCTGAGACGAAAGGCTGTTGTTGCTGGTTTTATGTGCCTCACGCGCACCCTATTATTCTTTAAAGAAGGAAGAGCGAAAGTGAAACATTGATAATAAAACTTGTCGCAATCTATTAAGTTAAAAAGTTTGTCGTATTTTCGTTGCTTGCCCCAGGTCTTTGTCCGCGAAATAATTCGCACGTCAATATATTTTACGCGCAAATGACGGACCTTTGAAACTCCATCCCTTAAATCATAATATTGTTGAGGAATGAGAATGGCAATTTGCCAGTTCAAGTTTGGGAAACTAAGAGGCCGCAGTCTCACAGCTCATTATGAAAAGGCGGAGGAACGGACGACTAGAGTGAAAAGTTTCGGCGGTTTCTCGAAGTTGAAAATTATATACCGGACGCGACAAAATGGACTTCGCGTTTCAACTTCCATATTTCTCCGCTTCGCCCTCCTTCCCTCCTTCCACAATCGCTTTAATCCCTCTTACTTTCCCTTTCTCCCATGAGATGTCGTTCGCGTACAATAAAAGGGCATAGAACAGTGAGGTATCTGCGACAAATAATCGGAGGATTTAAGACGTTGTTGGCATTATCTGAGCAATCCGCAGTGATAAATTATAATAGGATTTGAACGTGTTTTCTCCGGATCGTAAATCGATTCGCGGAATTCATGACTTACGCCTGCAATCAATCTTATCGATAACGAGCCACTTGCATTCAAACATTTTAATTTCAAATACGTGTCGGATTTATCGTTGTTTGACCGCGACCGCTCGGATTTACATATTGATACCACGGGAATACGATATTCAGCATCAGACGAGAGATACTTGAGAGCGGAAATACTTTTTTTCGGCTATAACCGAAGGGGGAAATCGCTGGCCAAAATCGTGTTTGCCAATGCCCGCTAATGTCCAGTGGGCACTACTTTATCTTATTTTATCTTATTTTATCTTTATATTGCCCCAGCAAGGCCTAATGTCCAAACTAATGCTCACAAAATGCCTAGTAATGCCTGGTAATGCCTAGTAATGCCCAGTAATGCCGCAAATCTGTACATTATAATGCCCTCAGGGGTTTCCCCTTCGGCTATAACTAATTAATTGTTTGAAAACATTATTATATTCACTTATTAATTATATAATTTACATTTAATACAACATATGCAAGGAAAGAGCCCACAATTCACGAAAGATTTATAGGTTAAAAAGTTAAAAATGTTCATCATGTCGATAAACCGTGATCATGTCTTAAACGACGGATCATCTTTATGATCACATTTTACTCAAGATTTTATGAATGACGCTCGTGAACCGCGTTTGACGGTGAAAAATTATTTGCGTGCATTTTTCCTTCAACTTTGATGAACGAATTTAATTTTGCGACGATCCTGAAGATGGTTTCGACGTACTGGCTTTCATCGTTCTGTCAATTTTGCTTTTATCATATAAGAACTGCAATTTAATTCCGACGTAAGATCTAAACTCAATGGTCTCGATTGAAAAACACTTTTCTTCTTTTTCAGATTCCTCTTATTATTGCGATCGGCAACGACGCACTGATCCGGATTAGGAAATAATTACGAAAATTCTTAGTCGTAATTTATTGAGCATTTTCTTCATTTGGAGTGTCCTCGATTCCTTTTAAACGTAAATTCTTCAATTTATTCAAGATGTTTTTCGCAAAAACATAACGACAAAGTATTTCTATTAAATATGAGATCAACGTTAATTTTTCTTCAAAAAAGTATTAAAATACGTATAACTTTCCAACTAAGAAGGTCGTCAAAATTTTCAAATTTTCATTTTTCAAATCGCTTTGAAAAGTAAGGTACGCTCCGCGGACTTCGTGTTTGTCTCGTCTAGCGTGTTTGGTGTCACATTAGTGCGACGTCACGTCTTCGAAAATCTATAGATCAATAGCGCAGGTCGGAAATTAATTACGCAAAGGAAGAGGAACTTTATTTTTCAAAAAGTCCGCTTCGTTTGCGAAGGGACTGAAGTGGCACGTTTAAAAATTAATCTTTAAATACGTGGCTTAACGCAGCGTCCTTCGAATATAAAAGTACGATTATATTCCTGTAAATTTGCATCTAAAAGACAAGAGAGGATCCTTTAATTGAAAAATTATTTACGTAGTCGGAAAGTAAACTCTATAGCTATACTTTGACAACAAGATTCGTAAGATGACTTTTCGACGATCCACAATAAATCGACGTTATATAATAAAATTAAAGAAGAATAAAATTAATATCGATTTTTCGATGAGAGTGGGAGAGGAATCGTGATATTGACACATTGGGTCGAAAATCGCGTGTACAGATTCGATACAAATGATATAGGAAATACCGAGATTACAAACTCAATAAAGGTCATTTTGCAGCAGCACGTATTTCCGTAATATGTACTTGTCGCCAATATTCTCAACGTCGGACACAGAGTCGACTGGCTGACTATCAGAAATAAGGACCCAAGTTAACGTCGCAGGGGAAATTAATCGACTTGCAAGTATGCTCAGGTTACAAGGAGAGACAATTCACGACTGATATTATGTGGATTTGAAAGGCATTGCTTGGGCAAATCCGTGCGAGAAATTCAAATCGTCGCGCGAGCTAAGACGTCATTCATTAACAATCTGGAACGTTGATGGTCATGAAATAAAAAAATTTTTCTTACCAGATAGAAAATATATCTACCTAAGGAGTACCGGGTGATTTAAAAGTGGATAATACAAAATTAAATTGCAGTAGGGAAAAAAATATCTTAACGAGATTATGAATGATGCATAATTTCCATGGAAAGAGTCTCATCAGAACATTTATGTAATGGTCTTAATTTTTTATATGAGCGCATTCGTTGCATCTCGTTAAGGTAGTTTTTCCCTATTGCAATTACGCAAGACTACCGCTATGTAGCGAATTAATATTGCGTGTTTTTCGGCCCCGCAACTTTCGTCGTGACTTATTGACGCTACGTGACAAAGAGTTTTTGTCTTTCGGTGGTTATTTTGTTTTATTTACTCTTGTCGATGTTTTCAAACTTCTCCATCCCGGTACTTTTGCGGATTAAAAACGAAGTGCCTTCGAAATATTCATTTTTTCTCCTCGATTACGTGTAAAGTTCGGAAAAATTATTGAGATATATACCAAAATCCTCAATTTTATTTTTGC